CGGGATGTGTTATAGGTAAACATTTAAGTGTGCGTTTATGAGAAGACCATGCAAAATCCTGAAAAATCGACAAGGTGGGGGGTCAGCGAATTAAGTTCAAATCTTGGCCATTTGATCCCCACCTGAGACGATACCACTCGGTGGAGTAGCTCGATAAATAATCACACGGTGGCCGAGTACGGGGCACCAACAATTTTGAGCAAAAAGGGTGACTTCCGGGGAGTAAATTTGTGTTGTTTCTGGTGTAAAGTTATAGCCTCGTTTATACCCTTAAACTAAATCGTTTACTGTCGACCTACATATCAAAAGAAAGGGTTTAATCTCCTCTAAACGATGAAATATAAATCTTTGATATGCAAGCATTCACTGCGGAGATATAGGCGTAAGAAAAACACGTATCAGCTCTATTACGAAATGAAGTCCTTTACGCGGTAAACCATAACTTAATTAATGCAGGGCTGAGAGTCAACAAACTTGGAGGAAATATAGTTCAGATATCCGACTACAATAATAAAAAATAAAAAAACTGTCAGCTCTTCTTGTTTTTGTTTGCTCACGGTCAACAAAGTTGAAAAATTCCTAATTTTCAAGACCAAACCTACATAGCCCCCTAGACAGTTCCGAGTGCAATTGGTTGCCCTTAATTGACATTTTGCAGGAATTGTTGTAAGAGCATAACAAGATGTACATTTTGCAGACTTCACCTATTGGGTGGGTGAGTGGGCTACCTTTGGTGGTGCGCACTGATCCGGTAGGAGGGGAACGTCCTGTTGCCGCCCACCCAGTTAGCGCGCGGTATCGAAAGAGGGCGCCCTCGCATTACATTACCGTCAAAATGGCAGCCATGGACATGCCGTCTGTGCGGCTGCAATGTGATTTTTAGTAATTTTGAGTATAGCAAAGCCATCGAATGTGGTGTAAATCCCTCTTATCTGCGCGAACTAAATACAGTGCAACTTAATCGATGCACAAAAGACATACGGAGCCATTTGCAGAAGTGGAAAGTCGCTGCATATGATGTGAATGTCGAGTGGAAACTGATCCTCCTGCGATGTGGTTTGTTCGACGTCGATGCATACACTGATAAGACAATACGTCCAGCGCATAGGTACAAGTTAGGGTTGAGTTGGACATCATCAAGGAAATGTTGTCATACACTCCATAAAGGGAAAGGCAAACCATTCCGTGATGTGAATAAAGCAACTAGCCGTGAGATCATAGATGTTTGATCGATGGGGTACCATGATCACTGTTGGAACAGGTAAGAAGACAGAAATCAAACAAAAATACATTTTTGAAAATTAAAATGAATTAATCATGGTCAAGGTCCATTTCTGATCAACTGACTTTGTTCCTGGGTAGGTTATATCAATTAAATCCCTTATCATGCAGTTGACTTGGGACCAGTGAAATTTATTATTGTGCGAAAAATTAATACTGGTTGTCACAGCTCTGGACCACACACATGGTTTTCGGCAGTGGACACACATGGTGAATATTTAGCCGGAGCTGGATTTTGAATTTATTTTGTTTTATATAAAGAAAGTTAAAACTGCACTGAACATGCGCAGTTTGGGGAATAAAACATATATTTTTTTTTGCACTTACATTGTTTTTTTTTTACTTTTATTCACGAGATGTGACTCATCAGACCATTTACAACTTAAAGAACAATTTCAGATTTGTTTCCCCTTTTATACAAATCCTCCAGAGCCAGCCACATCAGAAAAAGAAAAAGTAATAAGTGCAATTAAATACAGGCAATATAAAATAATAAAAGAAGATTTCTTATTTTTTATTTATTTATTATTTTTTTTTTTGGGGGGGGGGAATTTATGACATGGGTTTTGTTCAAAGCATCTATTGCTCAATATTGTTGGCTACATACGCCCCGCTTTATATCTTTTACTTTAAAAAAATATTAAGCCTGCTGCGGCCTTAACACTTTGTTAATTCTCACTGTTCATATAACTTTCAGGTATCTGTAGAGGTTGTCTATCTTAGCACAAACAAGCAGTTACGCACCAGACAGCGGAACAATTACCATCTAGCGATGTGCTCTCTAAGGAACAAGAAGAGCATCAGTGTACAATCAGTGATTTCACATCGCCGGCTGGTGTACCATCTCTCCAACCCACCGACACAGCGTGCACTTCAGTTCATGAGGTAAAGAGAGTGAACTAAGAATGGACCTTGACATATTGCATCTCATTTATCACAGATGAATTGTAAGCACTCTTCTTTGAGTACATCAATTTGTATTTCAACCCTATATGTAGCATGCATCTCACTGTTTTTATTTTTTTATGATTATTTCTAGCATACATCTGAGTCCTCATCAACTGATGGAGATATTACACAGGATGTAGGTGCACTTGACTCTTCTTGGGCTCCAACCCCCTGACCAAAGAATGTGGAGCTGCAATCCCTGAACACTTTCCTTACTCAGGGGGGAATGTCTGCTGTTGATGGGCAGCTTCATCTGTCATTAGAATAAGCATCTGATAGCACCATCCATTATTATAGAAGGAAGGCAAAGGAAGCCTTTGGTTTAGTTCTTCATTGTTTAGCACCACGTCAAGAAGATGGGCTCATGAAGATTACAATCGGTGAAACAACTGCTTAATCATCACAAAGTGGTCAAAATTTTGATAGTAGTGCCCGTTTTCATTTTTTTTTATTGCATCCTTTTTTACCAACATTTTTGCATTAGTGGTTCCATGTTCTCTTCCTTTACGTATTTTGTGTTTAAACAAAGGGTTATCATGGTTTGTTATTTAAAGACAGTGACTGTTTTTGTTTTTTAATGTTAATTTAAGAAGGAAAACAATTTCTTGATTTATATTCTATTGTTTTTTCGAGTTTGATCGTTAGGTTGTTCCATGTGTCATTCTATTTTGATACTGTGTTGGTTCAGTTTTCTTCTTTCAACTTCCATTTAAGTTTAAAGTTCAATTTAGTTTTGTACAGTTGACTCTCGTTATAGCAAGGTCGGTGAGACTGCCCAAACTACCTCTTTAAACAGAAATGTTGCTTTAAAAGGACAGAGAAACAAAGAGACACAAAGAGAACTAGAGATTCGAGACCTCAGAATGTGCTCTATATAAGCAGCAGTAGGACATCTTTGTAAAAGTGTTCTTTATAACAAAAGTCGACTGTAGTACTACCATTTTACTTATTTGGTGGGGTGGATAAAAGTTAATTTGGATCCTTTTTGATTATTGGTTTTTTGAAAGGTTTTCTTCAAATTTTGGTTGGTAAAATAAATCATTCTTTTTTGGTCTTTCTAAAACTTTGTCATTGTTTCTATTTATTCAAATTCCTCTCTACTTGTTCCTACCCCATCTAGGTGTGTCTCATTTTTGACGAGTGCCCCAACATTTAGCGTTTTTCTCATTCAATTTATTATTTTCCTAGTTTATTAATTTTCCGGGTTACATTAACATGCCAAAAAAATAACAGAATTGTCATCCAAGCCTCATCATTCCCACATTTGGTGCGCGATATGTGGCAGGGTGTAACCCCCCCCCCCCACCACCCCCATTGTGTCTTCATTTTGTTTTGGTAATCTCTTTAGATGATTTTTTGGGGGATACTTCTGTTAACAAAAAGACAAGTGTGTGTTGAGTATAGGAACATTTGTGGGGACTCCCTCTGCCACAAATCGGGCAGGGTAAACATTCCATCCTGGACTCTGAAAGGTGGCGGCCATATTGATTTAAAGTGAAACCCCCTACCCTAAAAATGGGATAAATTAAGGAATTATAGCACCCCTTATGGCGTCTCCAGTATTAAAATATGTTTTAATTTTTTTGATCATGAATATATACACGTTTGCCAATTTTCATAACATTCAAGCAAAAAAGAAAAAATGATGTGAAAAATACACTTTTTGACCAAAAAGGTGCCCAAAAAAAAGCCCTCTGTTAAAGATTTTAAAAATATTTTTGACGTCATTATTTACAAATTGGAAATATAAAACTTGGTAGCAAATTTCATAAAAATTGGTTGTCGACTTTTGAAAATACAGAAAAGGGGGGGGGGCACTGTATGCCCCTCCCCCGTCCCTTTACTAGCGAAAAATAGGGGTAAAACAGACTCCTGCCATTTTATACTAAAAACTGCTGACAATGTTTTTATTCTTGATACTTAAGGACCATGATAAGAACTCTCTTTCACCTGAGTGTCATTGTTCAAAGACCTGCACTAATGACGCTACGGCGACTTAAAGATCGCTATTTCTATGACTCAACTTTGGGGGTACCCTTAGTGCCGTTGCCTCCTAAGAGCAATTTTTTTCTAAATTTTGAGTACCTGGTTTTAGGTCAGGATACAACCTCAGGACCCTGCAAATTTCATTTCTCTGCTGCTTTCCCCTGTTGAGCAGCAAGCGTTTAAACGTTTGTACCCCAAAATCATAAAAATCACCATTTTTCACTAATAAAAACACATTTTTGGCTCTTTTTTCTGCTACGGAGGTCAGATTGGCCAAATATTTTGTACAACCTCAAGGCTACCTATGACCCACCTACCCCCAGAATTTTAACCAAATCCGCCGACCCCCACCTTGTCACGGTCTGCATGGTCCTCTCGTGGACATACTCTTAATTGACATCATGATGATGTCATCTTATGATTTTTTTATGGCTTTTTAAGGCCATATTTCCTCAACAGAACATGTTAATCAATAGTGGCTATATGGGTAAGTACTAATAGTCACTAGTAAACTCTCTCCACACGACTTTGGGGAGAAAATTATATCATTGTAATGTTTTAGCAGAATACAATTGTGCTGTATACTCAGACCATATGGAAAGGAATCAATGAAAAGTGTCACACTCTAACAGTCTTTCCTGACATGACATGAAGAAAGTGGCAGGATCTGGTTTATCTGCTTGTGAATCTTGACAGTGTTGATTTGTAAACTTTTGGTAATGTCGGCCTCAATTCACTTTTGCCCTGCCCTCCCCTCCCCCACCTCCTTTACCTTCCCTCCATAGAAAATCCGCCAGGAGGCCAGAGAAGAGCGACGCAGGAAAGAGCGCGAGCAGAAAAAGCGTGATGAAGAGCGCAGGCAGAAGCGAGAAGAAGAGCGGAGGCGACAGCGAGAGAAGCAACGGCAAAGGGAACGGGAGGCCAAGGAGAAGGAGAAAGGAAAAGTCAAGAAAGAGTTTGACAAAGAGGAGCCTCAAAAGATAAAGGTGGATTTTTTGTTTGTTTGTTTGTTTGTAAATTTTCAATGCTTTGAAAAATGATGAATACAAGATCGCCATTCTCCATGAAATTGTTCAAGTTTGGTCTAAAAATGACAAAATAAAAATGATGAATAATTCAGGAAACTTTTTCAGAACTGCCAAATTAAATTGTTTCAGAACATGAAAAAATGTAGCTATGATCTTTAACGCCACCAGGCCTTGAAGACTTTGAAACGGTCTTTTCAAAGCTACAGTCCATCATTTGCACCTATCCAAAAGGTAACAGACAAAAATACTGTTCAAAAGTATGCTTGGTTTAAAGATACAATACAGCCTACAATTTATGAAGCACGGCCACAAATCCTATCGTGAACATGCATTGTCAACGTAATCCACTTATGGAGAATTATAAACCACAAAAGACTTGCAGTTCAGGGCAAAGTCGATGCCTTGATTAAGACCCTGTTCCCACTAGATCCACCAATTCGAGGATCTGATCCCCTTTTGCCAAATTGCCGGATCAGATCCCCCAATTGGTGGATCAGATCCGGCAATTGTGTGTAGAAGAAATGCTAACCGTTATAAAGTGGATCAGGATCAGATCCACCTTTCTTGATCCACCTCTGGACTAGGATACAGATCCCCCATTTGGTGGATCAGATCCGGCAATTGGCAGATCACGATCAAATGGGAATGCAAAATGTGGATCTGATGCGGCAATTTGAACTGTCAACATCCAAACTGTCAACATTATGAATGCAGAAACATGTTTTTTATGCGTGTAGCTCATGTGCACAATAATCATGCACAATAAACAACCGCTGCACTACGGTCTAGCAAAATATATCACCACGCATGCACGATGCGTGCATGCAGTGCACGTGGTATATCCTAATAAAACTACACTAGGCCTTTTACAATTTTCGTTGCATATTCCTCCATTTCTAAACCTTTTTCATTCGTGAAATTTTACCTATTTTTCCGTACATAAATAACTCTGTGTTAGTGTAAAGCCCGCACCCACCAAAACACGTCACTTTGGCACAGAGTCATAGAAAAGCTTACGAGTATGCGATGAGAAAAGTGCCGATAACGTCCAGAGGTGACAAATCTTTAATATTGATTATAGAAAATTGAAAAATGATGTCATAGTACATCATGTGACCATTTTTAACCAAAAAGAAGCTTCAGAACTGGGGAATCCCTTGTCGATGCGTTGGCTTTTGCTGCGCGAATGTGACGTCACACAATTCCAAAATACAGACGAACTCTAAATTTGAAATATCCTGGCATTCTCCAAAAAGAAGTTTGAAATCCGGTATCCAGTGAATCAAAACTGACATTTATAGGCTTTTCGTTTTTTGATAAAACTTAGGCAATGCCTGAATAAACCCTCCACAATTCTGTTATTTAACCTACGATCACCGCCTGCCACCAGTCATTGTGATCACCGGTACAGTCAACTCAATACAGCTAGACCGCAAACCCCAAGTGCCGCCCAAGCCCCAGTGACAACATTGTCCTCCAATCCCGAAGTTCAGTCTAAAAATTCCTCATTGTCATGGGCTGATAACTTGTGTCTTTGTTCAGCACATATTCTCACAGGCCTTTATCAATCCGAAGCGCCGATCGGGGACTCAAAGAAAGATACATTGTATCTACATTGTATTTATGGGCCGCTGTCAATCATTGACTGGAAGCTCCTCTGAGAAGGCACTTATAATTTTATTTCCAGCTGAATTTATATTCTCTTTGCCCAAACAGTAATTTAAGATGTAACTTATCCCAAGAAACAGGTCTATCATGTTCCAAATGAATTTTCAAAGAAACAACACATTGACGAAGGTCATTTTTTTTTCATTGATGGTAGGAAACTGCATCTGAAATAAAATTAATAATAATCCACTGCCAAGTAAATTCTCAGATGTTCTTAATTTCCAAATAAAGTATAATAAAAGTATGCTTTCATCCAGTTTAAACAATCTAAAAACATTAGTCTATCAAATGTACGGAACTCCCAAACACAATCTTAACATATTCTATACAGGGGATTTTTTTGTATCTTACGATCTATGATCATTCAATTAACAGGCCTTAAAAAGGTTCACAACTATATATATCTGGAATATTTGTGTAGCCAATTATTTACAAACCCTTTCAGTTCAAAGGTTAATTTAAAGGATTTTTATTCTGATTGTTTTGTTCCTACAAAAAAGTGGTATCTACCTAGACCAGGATGTGTTATAGATGAAAATTGATGTGTTGTCATGAAAATGTCATCATGTGACGTCATAATTCAAAGCCCTACGAGAATGTAATCACATATTATATGCCAGCATTCATTATAAACAGAACTGCAGACCCCAAAACCAACTTGCCTGTACCCAAGGGCAACCCTCTACCAAAATTAGACACCAAAATCTCATTTCTAACTCAAGTTATCATCCGGAAACCATTTACATTTAACTCACCACGGTGACCTTTGACCTTTTGACCCCAAAACCAATCCCAACTTGCCTACTTCCAAGGGCAACCCCCTATCAAAGTTAGACATCAAAATCTCATTTCTAACTCAAGTTATCATCCGGAAACCATTTACCTTTAACTCACCATGGTGACCTTGACCTTTTGACCCCAAAACCAATCCCAACTTGCCTACTCCCAAGGGCAACCCTCTATCAAAGTTAGACACCAAAATCTCATTTCTAACTCAAGTTTTCATCCGGAAACCATTTGCCTTTAACTCACCACAGTGACCTTGACCTTTGACCTCAAAACCAATCCCAACTTGCCTACTCCTAAGGGCAACCCCCTACCGAAGTTACAACCCCAAACAACATTTCTAACTCAAGTTATCATCCGGAAACTAAGCTACCCGGACAGACGTTCCAGCCAGACGGAATTGTGGGGCGATAGCATTGTGTTCCCATTATCCCTTTTTCTAAAGATTCCCTTCTGGGGTGATGTTTTTCTATTGTGAAAAAAGTGGGGTGATGTGTCCTGAAAGGAACATCACCCCACAAGGGTGGTATGGTCAGAACGGACGGATGGATGTTCTAGCCAGACGGACTTGTGGGGTGATAGCATTGTGTTCCCATTATCCCTTTTTCTAAAGATTCCCTTCTGGGGTGATGTTTTTCCATTGTGTAAAAAGTGGGGTGATGTGTTCTGAAAGGAACATCACCCCACAAGGGTGGTATGGTCAGAACGGACAGACATACACAGGGACAGACGGACGGACGGACGCCCTAGGCGATGACAACACCCCTCGAGCCTCTCGGCTGAGGGGTAAAAATGATGTTAAAATGATGATCTTTTGCTCAAAACAATTGGTCAAGTGGTCAGATATTGCCTGATATCGCACCACCGCCCCCCGTTTGGAAAGTCCTTGATCCGCCCCTAAGAACTCACGAAAGTGAAGCACCTACAAGGCTGAAGCCAGAATTGGATGAATGCAATTATATCTCTTGAAGTGAGTGCCAGAAATTAAGCCCCAATTTAAAGTAAACCAGGTGCCAGTACCTCACATTCGGTCAACATCTTTGGACCACCTGACTCCGCAACTATCTTTCATTATAGCTTTGAAAAAGGTCGTTTGTATGTGGAAATCCGCAAACATGATGAACACATCATCATACAAAGGGGCTTCTGTTGCCTGGATTTGTATTGAAGGTTTAGCTATGTTCAGGTCGTGGGTCACAATGCCATACTTTTGCTGGTAATTTATTGGTAATGCGCAATGTTTCCACTACGAGGTCCAAACTCGCCGGAGGTTGCTTGAAGTTAGAAATGTAATGCACCACTTGCTGTGGTAGATGATCTGTGTAGTACCTGCAATTAAAGCCTGCCCACATCGGTATGTTTTCCAATTCAAGAGCATGACACATCATCTCGATCAAATCTCTGGTGCAGGCTTTGTCGAAACAGTTAGGGCGGAGGAAGACATGGTATTCTTGTATTTGAAAGATGTCATATTTGCTTTTCTGCTGTATGGGGCAAGTGCGGTCCCAGGAATATCCAGCTTCCCTTTCTTCCTCCTGGGTTACTGACTGCCCATCCAAGATGTGGGAACATCGGATTTTGGTGGGCCTTCAGTCTGGTACAGAATACCCATGGTGTCATGGAGAGTATCAGCCCAAGATAACATGTAGGACAATTCATTGTAATTGTCAAAAGCAAGCCCCATAGTACAATTGGGCTGTGTACCATCTGGGCAGGCATCGTGGGTATCCTGCTGAAAATGAATGATTTTCTAGTTCTTCCACACTGTTGTAGTTGATGCAGTGCCCGAATCGATTCAAAATGGTAACAAATTTTCTGCTTCCTGTCATTGATTTCACTGAGATATTAAGAACGTTCGACCTGTTTCTAACTATGAAGAGGGCATCTGGCTTGATGACTGGGCCTGTCGCTGAACGTTTTTTCCGTGTTTACCTTGATTTGGACCTCCGTATATAATCCGAAAGAATGTCTTGACAAGTTCAGGTGGTGAAACCTCACCCTCCTTGAAAGATGTACACCGCAAAGGGTTAGAAAACTTCTTCTTTATGACCTCCTTTATTTGTTTCCGAAGGAGAAGGGCCGTTTGAGTTATGCTGCTTTTAGCACTTGACCTGTAGTCAAATGTAACTTGCACGGCTTTGTCAGCAAGTCATGCATTGTAAACGACAACCCCCAGTTTCTTCCCTATTGGAGACTGGCGTTTTAATCTGCCAGCAAATCTCCTCAGAAGGATGCGGGACAGACTCTGAATGGTAGCAACAGAAATTTTATCAGCATCTCCACACAAGTCAAAATATCTGTCATAAATCGACAACAACTCAGAATGTCTGTAATTTATTACAGAACGTTCAACATAGGAGTATAAACAGTGAGTTATGCAAAGTTCCCAATTTTTCCCAAAAGTTCCCAAATTATGCATACAATGTACATGTTTGGCTTTCATCGTAACTCCCTATGCCTGACACATTATTTAGCTCATGCTCCTTATTTTTACTGATTTTAATGGTGTATTTTTTTCAATCACAAATCATCATTTTGCTCAAATTTGTCTTAGGCCAAAAAAAAAAAATAAGTCGGTCTCTGGTCAGCGCGCGTGTCGATTTTAAGCATGCGCGTCGATCTTTTTTTTCCAAAATGTTCTGCGGTAGCTCCAACAGCGCCCTCTATTTCCGCACCTCCTCAATTTTTTTTTACCAAACAGCACCAAGGAATGGGAAATTGCACCAAGGCAAATGATCGAAAGCACCAAGGCAAATTATGGAGGACACCAATGTACATGAGGACACCAAAAAGCAAAATAGTACCCACCTTGTCTGTACAATCCAAGCTTGAAGAAAAAAAATAAAAAGCCCCCCCCAAAAAAAAAAGCCGCGTGGCCGCGTCAATTCCGGAACTTTGGTCTGACCAGAGACCGGATATTTTTTTTTTTGGCCTTACCTAAGAGTGTCTGCTGCAACAATAAATCTAACAATACACCACTCAAACTGTGTAATTTCATGTAGCAAATCTTTATTTTGTGTTGTTTGTTGAAGTGTAGTCACTACCAATCACAAAATTTGCAAGCACCAAAAGTTCCTGTGATTGGTCACGATTCGCTTGGGTTGTTGTCAGTTGCACTGCAGTGAATAGGCTGCTTCAACAATACTATGGATGCTAATAGCCTCTTTGTTGCTTTTCTGAATTTGGCTTATTGATTGGGTCGTTTATTTCTGCACCTATTGATTTTGAGTTCAACTTAACTGAAATTTTGAGTAAGCGTGGGCATGTTTTTGAGTTCATAGGGTTTTCGAGTTAAACAGTTTTGACTTATCGAGATTTCACTGTATCGTCTATACAGGTTTTCTCGGGCACCGTGCCACAAGCACAGGGCCCTTTCAGCAGACTTTAGGTATTTACTTTTGCATGACTGGTGATACTTGACTTCTTTTGCAACGATGTCAACGCCACCTATCTTGGTGAGCATTTCATACTCATAGTCATGAAGCATTTCTGTGGCCCTACAGATAGATTCTCCTGCCTCTAGTGTTTCACAAGAACCAGGCATTTCAACTCTCATTTTTGCTTTTGGCAACTTTTTCTTCTTGCAAAACAGGCAATCCTCAGAAAATATTCCTCGGATACTCTGACTTCTACTCTGACTTCCAGTACACCTTGATCTAAGCAGTTTCACTTTATCATTTTGCTAGTGCTCAAAGGGGTGTATGTGGGAATAGCTGTGAAATCTTTGCAGCCGTGGTGCGGTTTGGGATTTTTGGGAAGAGACGTAATTACTCCAAAATACCCGGTAATAAACCTCGGGAGCTCATTAAGTAAGTAGCCCATGCCCCCGTGTGGTCTAACAATTATGTGAGTTGAAACAGGTGTTTTGGGCAGACTTCATTTTATAATTTTTGTAATTTTGAAAAACATAGGGGTGCCTGCTCAAAGACTGCCCCCCCCCCAAGAATCTATATGTCAGTTATATAAAACAGACATTGAGTGGCTTTAAAATTGTGAAATGGGAGGAATATTGTCGCTCGGTAAAATCTTTTCCAGTTCACTCGGCTTCACCTCGTGAAATGGAATAGTCCAGATTTTACCTTGCGATAATATTCCTCCCATTCCACGCTGAGCCACTCAGTATTTGTATACCATGCCCCAGTTGCAAGCCCACGCCCTACTGGGCTTTCAAAGGGGTTTTATAGTGCTGGGTCAAAATATGCATAAGGATTCCAAGATTAGGAGTACTAATGCAGTGTATCTTTCTTATTTGTAGATATTTGCATAAACACTAAGTACAGGTATGGGGGCAAGGAACGTACCGGTATATCCCTAGCACTGTATATTGTAAGGGGCCATTCAAAATTTTCGATTGTTTTTAAATTTTGATTTTTTTTTTCCAAATTGTTTTGACCCATCCACCCACCCCAATTTTCGATCTTAAAATATTGATTTTCCATTAAATAAAAAAACATAACGAATGTCCAGTTCAGTGACAGTGGAATGCAGCTGCAGTCCGTATACAGTACCTTTGCAACAACACGGCCCACTGGCATGCCCGTACGTATAGGGAATCCTCCTGGAAACACGCACAACTAGTCCAATCTACACGGTAATAAAAAGTATCAGTTTATTTAGAAATTTCAGTCGTTTTTTATAGAAAAAAAAAATTGAGCTCTCAACTCGCGCTTTCCAGATGTGTGGATGGGGGCTGCCATGTTCATTGCACGTAAATATACCACGCGCATGCATGCAGGTTGCCTAAGTAGTCTTGAACACAAGTAGGTTTATTTCATTGCCACGATTCGTAACCGACACTCGTGGCGTATATTAAGACAAAATCCCGCTCCATTTGCACGGCGTACTGATTTTACGCATGCTTTAAGTCTAACTTCACTGGTCCCCATGCATATGGTGCTCTTATTGAGGTATACACAATACACGGTACATTGTACATGTACCGGATGCATACTGTACCCGTACGGTACGGGCAAAGGGTATACGAGTCGAAACACAGAGAGTGGAATTGGCAAGTCAAAAGAGCTACTTTCTATCTTTTTAATTGAAAAAAGTGAATTTCGATTAACAAAAATTTCAATAAATTAATTTGACCCACCCTACCACATTTTCGAACAAAAATCCAAATTAAAAAACATCGAAAATGTTGAATGGCCCCTAAGAGTAAACAACAAAGACAAGCATGACAGCTCCATCTGCGGTTTGACTGCAGTCCAAATACTATCTATTGTGGTTTACAGTGGGTTAAGTTGGAAAAAAGTAAGCTCTGAAATAGTTTTGTGGCATTAATCTGACTGGAGAACAGGTGCAATGCATGACTACTGTGAATTACTGTGGCCAAAGCGCTTTCTTTAGTTTAAAGGTGCAATTGGGACAATAATAAAATCAAATTTTGTTACAGTACTATCAAACCTTTTGTACTCAAATTGTTAATTAAACTCCACGAAACTCCCAGTTGATTGCACTTTGCATTCAGGTGTTCATTAAATGACCAATTTCACTATGATTGTAAATGGTTGTCACACAGCTACTCATGAAATCTGAAGGAGAAAAAGGACACCAGAAAGGAGATGCATCAGCCCCCTTAGACGAGAAGAACAAAGTGAAGGAGAAAACAGGGAAAAGGGACCAGGCAAGACAAGATGACAGGTGACTGGGTAGATATATCATGAGCTAGTGAACTTGAATCATAAAGTTGGGTATTTGAAAGGCTCTTTTACCAAAGGTCAAAGTGCTTTACCTTATCATTGCCCATGGTCATCGGGCCAATGAAACATTCATAAGACCATCTCAGCCCTCTGAGAGCTGGATGCTGCCCTTTTGGCACAAACAATTATATCCAATTCAATCTCAACAACCATCTCTGCCTTCACAGGTGCACAAACTCGGTCAATTTTGTAGCTAAATTGTAGCTAAACAGGAGTTCCAATATTTGGAGAAGGGGGCAAATCATGTTTTCTTGGAGGTTTTGCCATTTCTTTCCCATACCAGCCAGCCGTCCCCATTTAATAGGAATCGTCCCTATTTTGAAGTTTTGGGATTGAAAAACAATTGAATATTCTGTAAAACTTTGGGGGAACAGCTTTCACCCATTTTATATTCACCATATATAACAAGGAAAAATAGTGGATCGCAAACCCCGACAGCTGATGTCACGATTCTGTTCCAGATAATGGGATTGGGTACCCCTAACCAACTTTACAAATTAATAACTTCTCAGACACTAAAAAAAAAATGTTTAGAATGCAAATGAAAACCAGGCTGCATGAAAAATTTAAATACTTTTCACGTTTTTATGGACTTTTAAAATTTCAAAATCTTGGAACTCCGTCCAGTAGTGTCCGTATTTCGGGCTTTTAAATGTTGGCAGGTATGCTAACCACATCCATATTAGCATGTTTTTCGTTTTTGTGTGTTTTCTTAATGCCTTGCAGCAAAGCTGAAGAGGCATACTGTTTCCGTCAGTGTGTGTGTTTGTGGGTTAGTTTGTTTCTGCATTCAATAGGGGATGTTGAACAATAGAGGACAATGGGGTCCACAATTCCCGAAGGTCCACAATTGACGATCATGTACACAACCATATGGGAGATCTTCCTAAAAAGTTAGAGTACAAACAAAAGAGGGAAAATAGGGGTCCATGATTGCAGGTAAATACACCCTTGTTTCGAAAAATGATGCATTGTTGAGAGCCGGGTATAATGTGGAACAAAAGATTGTAAAGGTCTCCTGACCACAAGGCAATTTCTAAATAGTCCGTGGGACAAGCCTTTTTTCCCCTCGCCAGGCGATCTGGTTCGCCGAATTTTATAAAACTTCACAGACAGTCAAAATAAAAAAATATATATGAACTTCAATTGTCAATACATGAATCACAACCCACTGAAGATGTGCTTTTTCATCATTACGTCATCGTGACGTCATCATGGGTCACGTGACGTCAATTCAAAACACAATTAATTTAATCTTTGAAATTCAATATAAAATCAACCATGAGACACCGGAACTTGAATTTTGCGGGAATCAACATTTTATATTTTCTTCATTTTATCTCATGCGCATCAAATCACGTTACCCTTCCTTCTGGTCGAAACTGGAAGTGTCTAATAATTTGAAAGTGGAAAAGATATGAACTTGCTTTCAATGATGTTAGTCTTTGGCTGGGTTGACATTTCCAAAAAAAATGATCGGTGACGCCATGAAGTGTTCGAGCCCCCTCTAGCGGCAGGTTAAAAAAATGTCCAAAATGCATTTTCAGTTGATGTCTGTGGCGAAATTTGAGGTAATCGCTTCAACATTAGTATACATGATGACTTTAATGCAGACAAGACCTGTGCGCAAAAAAAAGCTTATTAACGTCATCGGACCGGGAGTTACAATGAAAAGACCTTTAAACCTTAAAAATTGCTAAAAAATCAACCGTAAGAGATATTATTGATTGATGAATTGATGACAGAAACCAAAATAGAGGATGACCTCGATTAGAAAACGTGTACAAAACCAATGAGAGCTGTTGCAAAAAAAGTTGCAAAAAGAGTTTAAAAAGGAAAAGGGAAGAGGAACAATAGTAGATGCTCGATTTACACCAATAACAAACGTGGGTGCATGTGTAAACACCGGCAATCAAGGACTAGGGACAAAAGGGTTAGGGAATTAACAATGGGTCCACGATTGACTGAACGTCCACAATTGAAATTCGTGTTCAAAACCAATGAGAGCTGTTGCTGAAAAGTTGGTACAAACAAAGAAATGAGGATTACGGACTATGGGGGGTCCACGATTGCCAGTGTTTACGAAGACGTGTGTGTGTGTCCAGTAAAATCTTGAGAAATACTTTACACGTGAGCTTAAAATGTGGTTCGTGGATTGCTCTAGGTAATCCTAAGAAGCCTATTGCATTTGGGGCTGAAAGGTCAAGGGTCAAGGTCACAGTGGCTAAAACAAAACAATAGAAATCTTGTCAGCGCGACAACTTGAAAAAATACATTACATAAGAACTTCAAATTTGGTTTGTGGATTCTTCTTTGAGATCATAAGAAGGTTCTTCCACCCACAGAATATATGTTTATTGGCACAGCCGGAACAGCCTTTGTTTTCATTAAGATTTTTATTTTGTATTATTTTTAGCTGTTTCAGTGTACACACCAAAACTGCCCTTTTTTTTCTCTTTTTTTTCTTCTTTCCACTTGTTTTCCCATAGGATAGGACTTTTTTTCACAATTGATCGACTTCAAACCTGGCACACGCTAAGACCACCATCTGAAGATTCAGGCCGAATCATGACGTCATCGTGATGTCATCATGTGTTTTGTGACACGTGATGTCAACCTAAAAGTGCATATTTTTAGGCCCTAAATATCTATAAAACTGGAATTCTGATTTAGTTCAAACTCGGTATGCATGAATATTCCGGGACGTGTTTTAGACAAAAATTGCAGTGACATCATGTTGACCTCATGATGTGATTTTATATGAATTATTCAAGTTTTGTACCTTTAAGCCATATCTCATCAACTGATAATGTTGATTCACATAACAGGTTATGTCCGATCGTTATGAAACTTGGTAGGTATGTAGGTATTGTTAAAAAACTTTAAAATCTGAAATGACGTCATCATGACGTCATCATCTGATTTTTTATTAATTTTTTTAATTTTTATATTTTTTTCTAATCACCACAAATTACATAAAATACAACCCGATCGACTTCAGACCTGGCATACACCGAATCATGACATCAGCACGACGTCATCACTTGTCTTGTAAAGTTATCCTAAAAGTGCATATTTTCAGGCCCTAAATATCTAAAGAACCCGAAGTCCAATTGGGTTCAAACTCGGTATGCATGTATTCCGGAACGTGTTATAGACAAAAATTGCAATGACGTCGCGATGATGTCATCATGTGACTTTATATGAAGTATTCAAATTTTGGACCTTTAAGCCATATCTCATCAAGGCAACGTCCTAAATTCGAAATTCTTTTTGTAAAAGGTTTGTTAGGTCATAGGAAGATGCAAACAATTTCGTAAAATGTGTGACGTCATCATGACTTAATCAAAAACATGATTTTTGGATTCACATATAAAGGTATGTCTGATCCTTATGAAACTTGGTAGGTAGGTAGGTATTGATGAAAGCATTCAAAATCTGAAGTGACGTCATAATGACGTCAACATCTGATTTTTTATTAATTTTTTTAAATTTTGATATTTTCTTCTAACTACCAAAAATTTCATGAAATACGATCCAATCGACTTCAAACCTGGCACATACTTAGACCACCACCTGAAAATTCAGGCCGAATCATGATGTCATCATGACGTCGTCACGTGACGTCATCCTAATAGTCCATATTTTAGGGCCCTACATCTACAGAACCGGACGTGCGATTTGGGTTCAAACTCGGTATGCATGTATTCCGGGATATGTTATAGACAAAAATTGCAGTGACGTTACGATGACGTCATTAGTGATTTTATATGATTTATTCAATTTTTGGACCTTTTAGACATATCTCATCAACAGAACGTGGTAAATTCAAAATTCGTGTTGTAATAGATTTGTTAGGTCATAGATACACACAATTTTGAAAAATGTGTCATGTCGTCATCAAAAACGTGATTCTTTTTCCCACACACAAGGGTAAGTCCGATCGTTATAAAACGTGGTAGGTAAGTAGGTACTGATGAAATCATTCAAAATCAAAAGCGACATTTTTGGGGGGCCTTTCAGTCATTTTTGCCCATTGCATTTGTACACGTATTTTTGTTACCGGCACTATGGCCACTAAAATCAATCCGATTGCCTTTATACCTGGCACACACTTTAGACCACCACCCAAAAATGTGTGCCGAACAAGTCACGTGATGTTACAATAAAGATGCATACATGTATATCTCCAGAACTACAGGTCCGATTGGGTTGAAACTTGGTATGTACCTAGACCGGAATGTGTTATAGATGAAAATTGAAGTGACGTCATGATGACGTCATGATGGGTTATGTGACGTCTCATAATGATTAATAGATTTAATCTTTGAAAATCAATAAAAATCAACTGTGAGAGACCTGAACAGGACTTTTGCGGGAATTGATATAATATTCCAGGGTCTTCATTTTTGATATTATGTGCAAAATCACGTGACCCTTCCTTCCGGTTGAAACCGGAAGTGCCTTGTAATTCAAAAATGGTGAAAGATGTGAACTTGCTTTCAACGATGTATGCTCTGGCTAAGTTGTTCTTTACCATAAAATTAAAGGTATAGATGAAAATTAATGTGACGTCATCATGACGTCATCACGTGACATGTGACGTCATAATTCAAAGCCCTATGAGAATGTAATCACATATTATATGCCACCATTTATTATACACAGAACTACACATCCTTCCTTGATGGAACTTATACTTGAAACTTAACATGTCCTGTGTCACCAAAAAAGTTACCAAAACAGCCCTGCATTTGTCCACAAACATTAAAGTCTAGTTTAATATACAATTGTAATGTGATCTTTTATTTCGTTTTATGTACAGCTGTGTGTTGTTGTTTTTTATTCAGCTTGTTTGTACAGGATCTATTTACATTCACTCACGCTTTTAAATCACGTACATGTATAATGACTTCCCAACAGAAAAGCAAAAAAAATATCTTTTTATTCTGGGATCATAGGCATCAATGTCAATGAACGTTCCATGTGACTTAGGTAAGTTGATGTTTTGAAGAGTGGTGTCATGTCATGGGAACAGTCACGGTTGCGGGTATTTGTGTTACTTGTGTGTTTTTATTTCTTTTTTCCTTTGGTTGTGGGTATTTGTGTTTGTCAACACACCTGACTTGTTTGTTTTTATTTCTTTTTTCCTTTTTTTAGGAAGGAAAAAGACTCCAAGTCCAAACCTATACCAGAGAGGTACCAGGTGTCACCAGGTACGCGAAACATAGACAATATGGATAAGGCCTCCCAACAGAAAGACGAAAAACAAGAACGGAAGGAATGGGAGAGGGAGCAACAGAGAGTAAAGGAGGAGAGGACCAAGGACAGAGACAGCCAACAGGGAGACAGGGGAGGGGAGAGACCACTGGACAGAGATCGTGACAAAGCCCATTATGGAGACAGAGGTGGAGAGAGGGACATTGGGCAAACCAGGGTGGAAGAAACAGCAGCAGAGAAGGGCTTGCATGAAGGTACAAGTCTCTGAAGGTGCTCTTGCATAATCTTCGGAAGCTGTTTGTAACTGTGATCTTGTAACATGAAATAGCTTGTAGAGAAATTAGTTTGCTTGGATGAGTTGCAAGACATTGTGCAATGGTTTAGTAGAAATGATTATTTCATACACAGACATTATGTCAGTACTGTGCAAAAACAAAAACAAAAATGAAATGTCAGATTAAAAGTGCCATTAAATAAGCCCAAATAAACTTTCTTTATCTTCCCTTTTTGGTACCTTGGGTTTTCATCCTACCTGAAGCGCCACGTCCCTGTAAAGTTATCCTCAATATCCCATTCTTGAAACATTCCTCAGCTATTCATTATGGAGTTTTCACCATTTCTCAGCTACAGACTCATTATCTAAGAGACAACTTCAGAGGGACAAAAAACAAAGAGATTCTCATGGCAACCGGCAGACAAGACAGGGAAGATGGGAAAGCCAGAGAACCAAAAAAGACCAGCCACCAAGCTTGAATGAAAAGAGACTGGACAGAAACAACCACCAGTCTAAATCAGCTAGCCAAAGTAGGGAGGGATCATCGGGAGGGAAAGAGGAGAGGAAAACTGCCATATCGTTTGACAAAAGACCAACATCAGAGAAGGAGAGTTCAGGCCTAGGAACACACTTTAGAGAGGGGTCGGCAGAGAAGTCTGGGACGACAGCAAGAGGGAAAGACGGGTCTGCACGTCTTCGCAATAAGGTGACTTACCAAGTATATGCTATAATCAGATTACTTTTAAGTATAATTACTGAAGACAAGAGACCTACTCTCTACCAAATATCCTTGGAGAGCTGATGTCCTCTAAGCTTTCATATATTATTGGTTATTATGGGCTGGATTATTTCATATTTCCAGTAGTTTGATTGATCTACAATCCTGGCCAAATCTCGCTGGGCCCACAACCCCCCGGCCCCTGCTCACAACCCCCCGGCCCCTGCTCAACGTTGTCTCCCATGACGCAGTGTGCTCCATCAGCTGGAGTAGACAACATTGACCAGGGGAGCGGGGAAGTGGGCAGTGTTGTATGACTCGAGTCCAGGACTCGGACTCGAGTCAGACTCGAGTCACATTTTTCGTGAGTCGGACTCGACTCGAGTCACATTGGAAAATTAATCAGTCTCAGACTCGGACTCAACCATGATGACTCGGACTCGAGCTTGGTGACTCGTGACTCGAGTCAGGTATTCATACAAAAAAAAAAATTTACGTTATGTATTTGTGCGACGAACGTAGCATTCTTTTTACTCCATTGACAAAACACGGCGCCGCAGAAAATCGTATCCAGGGGCCACGCACACGCCTTGCGCCTGCACAACGAGCACCAGGACCCGGTGTCATGCCAAAAAGTTTACAACAACATGTACACACATAAGGTAAATTATATACACTGGAATTTACTTAAAAGACAGAGTGGGTGATTGAAAAATAATTCAAAAAAAAAACTTAATTAGTTTGGTGAACAACTAAGTACATGTGACTCGGACTCGAGACTCATGACTCGGACTCGAGGCTTGTGACTTGGGCAGGGACATGACGTTGGTGTCTTGACTACAGCACTGAGAGTGGGTGACTGTGGGAGGCTAAGGAAGTGTCTCAACCATTTTGGCCGGGATTGTAGTTTTGAATACACACTTATGTGGAACACAGTTCCTATATATGCATGTAATCTATTTAAATTAATTGACCCTTGCATAGAAGTCAGAGCAATAGTCAACTGAATGTTCACTGTTCATCTGAGTGAGTCGTTGAGCCAGTGATTAGACTATACTTCACAGCTGCATCACTGTAAATGCTTGTTGCAGCTTGTTTTCAATCAGTAACCATTCACATATTTGGTCATGTCACAGGACCGGCCAACAATGGCCCTGTACCAGCCGGGACAGAGACCATCAGTTTTTAAATGCCAAGATGTCAAGGAACCAAGGGACAAGACCAAAGGTCACAGGTCTAGCTCACGGGATGCAGAAGCCCAGCCAGCATATCAGTCAGACAGGACAAAGACTGGCAGTGACAAAAGAGATGCCGGAAGGGATAGCAAATATTCGAATGGAGGCAGAGAGGGAGCCTCTACCAAAGGCAGAGGGGAGGTAAAGGCAGGGGGAAGGAGGACCAATTGAAAGAGGAGAGAAACCAGAGAGATGGACAGGGTGCAAGGGGATGGGATCAGAGACCATCGAAACGAGAGGGAGGCATGGAGTACAGACCCCGAGACAGAGAGGTTGATCAGACTAGCAACTCTAGCAAACCAGGGAGCAGCGAATCATCCAAAGGTTGTAGCAGTAACACTGACAAATGTTGGAACAAAGGGAAAAGTGACTTGGCCAAAGATAGAGGCAATGAGAAACCCACAGAAAAAAAAAATGACAGACCAAGCGGCAAACATAGTCCCAGGCAAGTCTAAAATGGTGAAAAGAAGCATGTATAGATTAACAGGCGTAATGAGAAAGCATAAAAATATTAAGTAAAGTTAAAAACAAAAAGTTAAAGTTAAAAACAAAACTGCAAAGAATATTTCGTTTGCAGTTTTCTCTTAAAATCTCTTCTTCTTTTTTTCAGAATCAATTTACATTTGAACAATCTCAGCCCTTAATATGATTGTAAAATTCATATTTAATGTTCTCAGAAATTTTCATGAGTTTAGGTCGTCTGTAACTTATGAAAATTATGTGAATATTGTTTTCAGCTGATCAACGGGTGCGGAATGGCGCCATCTGTCATCTGTACGATTTCAGAATCTGTTGGTCCCGTACACATGCAGGAAAGAAAGAAGTGGTGCACAAGTGCGTTCATGATGTGGCGTGACGTTCAGGAACACGCGAGCGCATTACACGCAGGGCGTGCAGTTATCGAAATACGCGTGCAGTACACACTTAATAGCCGGTCAGCGTCACTTATGCATTCCTCCATTGAGTCGAGGCTGTCCTTTTTGGCCATTGAAGAGTACTTGTGTACGGAGCCCATAGGATGACATCACGGGTGCAGTTTAATTTTCCATACAGCCTGGTTCCCGTTCCTGTTAGGTTTGTAACAAAATGTTAGGTTTGTAAAATTTCATTTGGAAATGCATTCAAATCGTAAAAACATGTTAGGTTTGTAAAAAAATACATTTAGTTTTTAACTCTAATTTAGCATGTGTTTTTATTCCTCCGTGGATGCAGTGCCCTTGGGTGGGATTACTGAGGTCATAGGTCATGTATGCGGGTCATTCGATGGATTTTAATCCTTGTTTGGGGAATCAACACAACTCTTCCGAAATCGGAGGTCAAAGGTCATCTAGGGATCACTTGAGATCGTTTTAAAAAAAGCACATAATTGTTACTTATTTAGAACACAAAACATGATAGGGATCAACCGCGGAAAAAGACGACACTTACGATCCTCGGATCACTTGTATTCTTTATTTTAATTTCAGCTGTTTTTTTCAAGTGGTGTAATAAAATTAAAAGTCATCGAAGCTCACATGATCAATCTGCCTGTGTATTTCTTTTTCGTTTAGAGTTTTAAATTCAACTCCGAGTGTTCACTTTAGATGTGATATGGATGATTGCAGTATGTATTGCTATATATTTTTTAACTGTTTTAGTTCTGAATGATAGTTTTGTATCGTTCTGTGATTTTATGTCTACGGGGATTTTGTTACTCGTGTTGTGTGCACATCAGGACTGGAGCTGTTCATTTTTCTTTGTTTCTGTATATAATTATGTGGGTCTTTTCAAATTAAAAAGAAAGTATGTCAATTATTAATTATAGGCAAATGCGAATCAGGAGAAAGCGCATACCATACAGGGATTTGAATGCAGACACATGTATGTGAAAACTGTTTGCCAATTGACTAAATCGAATAACTAACACCTTTCTAAGGCCTTCAACGAATTTCAATGAACAAATTGACTTTGAATTTGAATGAACTGATTCATGGAATGATTGCTCAAATAACGAGATCGAACAACCCTTTTGAGGATAGAATGCTCATTTTTTCATTGCCACTGCTAGAACGACAGCGTTTGACTTGCATAGTTCAGTTGTACGTTTCCAATTTTTGGCTGTTTTGGCAACCGGCCGAAACAGCCTTTGTTTTTGTTAAAGTTTTTATTTTTGGCTGTTTCGGCACTTTTGCCGAAACAGCCTTTGTTTTCGTTAAGATTTTTATTTTTTTCTTTTATTTTTTTTCTCTTCTTTTTCAGCCATTCCCCATAGCATTTGTACACGTTTTTTACAGTGGAAGGCACTTTGGGCACTAAAATCAATCCGATTGACTTTATACTCGGCACACACTTAGACCAGCATCTGGAGATGTGCCCCGAACATTGCCGTCATCATGACGTCATCACGAGTCACGTGACGTAAAATTATATGCGATTTTTCTATTGTGACCATTTTCTAGCAGAATTCGGCTAGATCTTACAGATTGGGCTATATCTCCAGAACTACAGGTCCGATTGGGTTGAAAGTTGGTATGTACCTAGACCAAGATGTCTTATAGATGAAACTTAACTTGACGTCATGATGACGTCATCACGTGACATATGACATCATATAAAATAAACATATTTTGAAGGCCTATATCTCCTGAACTACAGGTCCGATTGGGTTGAAAGTTGGTATGTACCTAGACCGGGATGTGTTATAGATGAAAATTGAAGTGACGTCATGATTATGTCATCATGGGTCACGTGACGTCACGTTAAAGATTAATAGATCTTTGAAAATCAATATAAATTCAACCTTGAGAGACCTGAACTTGACGTTTGCAGGAATCGATAGAATAATCCAGGGTCTTAATTTTTATATATTATGTGCAAAATCTCGTGACCCTTCCTTCCGGTTGAAACCGGAAGTGCCTTGTAATTTAAAATTGGTGAAAGATGTGAACTTGCTTTCAACGATGTATGCTATGGCTAAGTTGTTATTTACAAACAAAAATATAGTTATAGATGAAAATTGATGTGACGTCATCATGACGTCATTACGTCACGTGACGTCATAATTCAAAGCCTATGGGAATGTAATCACATATTATATGCCACCAGTTATTATCAACAGAACTACACATTCTTCCTAGATGGAACTTGTACTTCAAACTTTACATGTCACATGTCACAAAAAAATACCGAAACAGCCCTATGTTTGTCCACAAACATAAGTCAAGTTTTTTTTTAAGTTTTTTTGGCTGTTTCGGCACTTTTGCCGAAACAGCCTCTCTGTTCGTTAAGATTTTTTTTTTTTCAGCCATTCCCCATAGCATTTGTACACGTTTTTACAGTGGAAGGCGCTTTGGGCAGTAAAATCAATCCGATTGACTTTATACTCGACACACACTTAGACCAGCATCTGAAGATGTGCCCCGAAGATTGACGTCATGGTGACGTCGTTGACTAATTTATTATAGAATTTTGAATATTTAATTTTTCCCATAGACTTTGTACACAGAAATAAAAAAAATGTGTCGATTTTCGAAGGGCATTTTTGACTCTTTGCCAGTAATTCATTTGCACCAATCTTTGTCCAAGCAAAGACCCTAATTCAAACAACATTGTGTAATGATGACGTCATGATGACGTCATCCGGTGTGTATTTATAGGCAATTAAATTGTGACACTTTTAATATCTAGAAATGCATAAGAAATCAACCGTACGCGTCCGCAGCATTCTGTTACCGGCAAGTGGTAGAGTAGGTTGAGGTCTTTATTTCATTCAGTGTGCGTGAAATCACGTGACCCTTGCTTCCGGTCGAAAAAGGCTAAAACCGGAAGTGGCTTATTATTTGAAAATGGTAATAGATATGAACTTGCTTTCAACGATGTTAGTCTCTTGGCTAAAAGTATTCTTTAAATCATCTACCAATGACGTCATTCAATCTTCGAGCGCCCTCTAGCGACAGGTTGAAAATTTGCAAAAATGTATTTTGAATAGATGTCTGTGGCGAAGTTTGTCGGAATCGCCTAAATATTGGTGTATATGATGACCTTGACCCACTTAAGATGTGTGCGAAGTTTTAGGCGAATGACATCATCAGACCGGAAGTTAAAATAAAAAGACCCTTTTTCATTTGAAAATTCCTGAAAAATCAACCCTGGCAGTTTTTATGTTAGTTTTTACTTTGTCGATTTAAGGGTAGGTCTAAAATATTTCAAAGCTTCGAGGCAATAAGCGAACTCGGACATGCCCTGCGCACACTTTAAACTTCAGGTTGACAATACCTCTGCTCTAAAACATGCACAGAACGTCTGTATGTACATACACGTACGTTACGCACATACATCTTATGTCAGTCAGCCTGCAGAGCACGTGTTGCCGAGGTCAAATCCTGTCCACATCACAGTGACCGTTTTAGCCGATTTTCGGCTAACTTTGACAGATTTTATGTTCATGCATGCGCATAGTCGGGGACGTATAATAAAAAATCATAATGCCGAAACAGCCCTATGTTTGTCCACAAACATATGTCTAGTTTTCTCTTCTTTTTCAGCCAATCCCCATAGCATTTGTACACGCTTTTACAGTGGAAGGCCGTTTGGGCACTAAAATCAATCCGATTGACTTTATAATCGGCACACACTTAGACCAGCAATTGAAGATGATCGCCGAACATTGACGTCATCATGACGTCATCACGTGACCTGAGACGTCACAATATAGGTGCATATTTTGAAGGCCTACATCTCCATAACTACAGGTCCGATTGGGTTGAAACTTGGTATGTACCTAAACCGGGATGTGTTATAGATGAAAATTTAAGTGACGTCACGATAACGTCATCACATGACATGTGACGTTATTTTAAATGTGCATATTTTAAAGGCCAATATCTACAGAACTACAGGTCTGATTGGGTTGAAACTTGGTATGTACCTAAACAGGGATGTGTTATTGATGAAAATTTAAGTGACGTCACGATGACGTCATCACATGACAAGTGACGTCGTATTAAATGTGCATATTTTAAAGGCCAATATCAACAGAACTACAGGTCTGATTGGGTTGAAACTTGGTATGTACCTCAACTGGGATGTGTTATAGATGAAAATTTCAGTCATGATGACGTCATCACGTGACATGTGACGTCACATTAAAATTGCATATTTTATAGGCCAGTATCAACAAAACTTCAGATCTGATTAGGTTAAAACTTAGTATGTACCTAGACCGGGATGTGATAATGATGAACATTCCAGTGACGTCCTGTGACCTCATATTAAAAGTGCATATTTTTGACGGCCAATATCTACAGAACAACATGTCTGATTATGTTGAATGTTGGTGTATACCTAGACCGTGATGTGTTATAGATGACAGTTGATGTTACGTCATCATGACGTAATCACGTGACATGTGACGTCATAATTCAAAGCCCTATGAGAATGTAGTCACCTATCATACATGTATGTCACCATTATTATAAACGGAACTACACATCCTTCCTTATAGTACGTGAAACTTTACATGTCACATGTCACAAAAAGTTACCGAAACAGCCGTATGTTTGTCCACAAACAAACTTGACATAAATCTAGTTTTCATATGAGCGTGGGTGGGGTGTGTGTATTTTTTTTTGGGGGGGGGTCTGGCAAGGCAACAAAGCAATGGGGTTATAAGTTATCCCACGAGCGCGAGTGGAACACGGAATTGACCTATCGCTGTTTGCGAGTTAGCCACGCCCCTAAGACAACCCTATGTGTTTTTTTGTGGTACACGAAGTTTTTGTTTGTCTCGGATTTTGCACGTCCGGCGTCCACTTGTATATCATGTAATTAGACAATTCGGGCGATTCACAATGCAGTGCGCCACCAAGAGCTTGCCACAGAGAGTTAATTTTCCCACTGCATTGTGGGAGATGGTCGACAAATTCGCGGCGCGGGACATTTGAAATTGTTCGTTTTTCCGGTCAGTTGTTTCAGAAGCGTACGATTCGAGTATATGTTTTGATAACCCTATCATGAAATCGTCCGAAAGTTTTAACCAATAACGTGTCAGTCAGTCCCGCGTTGACTTTACTCATTCACTTAGAGCTTAGAGCTAAGGCGTTCGTGGAGTGTTAAAAAAGCCCTTCTTATCTTACGCAACAGCATTTGTACAAGGCCATGGTAATTGTCAGAGAACGCCCACCCTAATTGTTGAACAAATCACGTCAGTCAGTAAAGAATAGATCGTATTGTACTTTTCGGAAACGCCGTTTAGGGCCTTTTGTGTGTGGTATGTTGGAGTTTGTTTTGTTGTGAGAGCGATAGAGATAGAGAGAGGCAGAAGACATTCTGACTTGTTCGAGAAAAGACAGAGTTTTGGAGAGCAATCGTGTGCTTGAAAGACCGGTTGTAACTTCCCTTGCGTCAGATATCTGAGAACAGCAGATCATAGTCCGTATCTAGAATTTGGTAAAGTCAGGCCGAATTCCAGCCGTAAAACTGTCCCGGTCGTCTTTGACATTTCCTGGCAACAGTTCGCCTCCCCAAGAAAGCTGCACAGCAAATTACCGTGAGTATATTAAATTTGTGATTTTCCTGCCTATTATATCTAAGTTCAAGTATGTAATGAACTGAGTTACAGCCTGAAAGATTGGTGATAATTACGTTCATTGTGAAATAACGATTATGATTTGAACAATTTCGAGGAGACTGGAGTTAACTATTTAGCAGTGAGAATTTTGATAATATGCAATTGTGAAAATCGAATTTGACGATATGACAAACTTGGATCATAATCTATGAAGATATTTGAGAACTAGGAAGGTTTTGGATTTATATTTATTATAGATGGCCTTTTTGTTGAGAGTATTCCCCTGTCGACCATTACACCGACTGGAGAAGGAGTCGGTACCACTGAGGTGCTGTAGACGGATGTAGAGTATTTACTGAGGCGTAGCCGGCCGAGTCCTGTGAGTTGTGCCCACCACGGTCTTGCGAGCCCTCAGACGCCGGGAACTCCAACGCTTTAAAGTTTGTTAGAAACTGGTAAAAGGGAAGTGCCCGAACTATACATAATTAAGAGAAGTCTGGAAACGGAGTTACATTTGGAAACAAATTGATAGTGTCTGATTGACTGAACGGTGTTTTTTTTTTAGGATTTTGTAATTAATTAATTGAACGTACTATTTATGATCCTTGTCATCGATTGATGTAATAATTTGGAATTGATTTAACTGATTAATTGAACATAAGTATTTTTATGATCTTGTCATTGATTGATTAAATAAGTTGGAAGTAATTCACCTGATCTGAAGTTGAATTGGGAATCTTCTTCCAAGATCAAGAGTGTGATTTAAATTGAAGAATTTGATTATACAATTTTGCTGTACATAATTATAGTGCTCAGAACTTGGAGAGTTGTTAATATAATTGGAAATATAGGTTTTCCCGGCGAATTTCCGATTTTTTCTAATCAGTTTCATTATCAGCCATTCAATTTCGCGTGAGTTTTGCACATGTGGTCAAATTGGGGTTTCTTTTTCGTTTTGGGTTCGTTCAATTTCATTTTAAGGCAGCCAAGATTTTGCTCTGAATGTTCGTTTTCATTCTCGGGCAGCCTATTTCATTTTGGTGCATTCAAGACTTAACTTGTAGACTTAAATTAAGTCTTTGCAACCTTTTGACGATTGACGCATTCAAATTAGCGAACATCTGTGCGCTTGTAACGTATAACCATGCTTTTCGTTTCTTTTTCGTTTATGGGCAATCGCTTTAATCGATACATTTTCCTATTTTTCTCCGAGGTTCATTGCCCCCCAAAACTTGATGACTGTAAAAATTTACAATTTTACAATTTAACTGATAGGCCCTATGAGGGAAACAAGATGTAATTACGAATAAATTAATTGAAGGGACTAAGATAATTTAATTTTCACTGTTTATCTTTTCTACTTGTTCAAACGTTTGAGCAAGGGGCATCTTTACGTTGACGATTTCTTGACGTGCAAGACATCGGAACACCTATGCTTGGCAATGGTTGTACCATACCATCGGGAACATTTCTCTTGAGTTATTTCTTAAATGTTTTCGTGTGCATGTCTGACCAAACACTACCGTAATCACAGGGTCCATGCAAAGTAAGTTTTCAATGCAAACCTTGAAAATACATCTTTGTGTCACATTTAACCTTATTTGCAATAGTTTTTTTTCCATTTTGAGGGTGTTTTTGGTGCCTTCTCCGTTTTATGCTAATGCAAAGTTTCATATTCATTAGAAAACCTTTGATGGCATTCCGGGCATGATTAATGTTACACGGCTATTTCAGCAAACAAAGTTGCTAGAATTTTGGATATTTTGGTCATAAATTTCTTTTATTTAGTGATTATATGATGTGTCAGTACATGGCAGTTGGCCAATGACCAACCCTTTCCCACAAAATGTTTTTTATTACACGGTACCAAATTTTGGATGAATAATTTGAAAGAAAAAACCCTAAACTAAACAGTGTCTTCTTAAAATAACATCACAGTAACAGTGCGCCCATACGTAGTCCGGGAAAGCATGGAAAATGTTTAAAGAAGTGCACCTTTGCAGTAAGATTAACCATTTTTGTCAAATGTGTGGTTTCCTTAAATTTCACAGTAGTAAAGAGTTGCATAATAAGATTTCCTGAGATAAAGTCATTGCACATACCCTTTAATTAAGAAAGAAAGCATCTACAGATTGAAGTCATCAAATGTGATTTACGCTAAGGAATACGGACACGTATGAAGTCTTAAAAGATGTTTGACAAATTGTGAAATATGTTTGCCCATTAATGAAAACGAATGCCCGATCAACCCCTTTCTAATGGTTTAGACGAAATTGAATGAACACTGCGATACTTTTAAAATGAATGCATCTTTGATAGGGACGAGTGAAGCTAACAGGCGATAGAATGCTCGGATAGTGAATTTGAATGATTCTTTTTGATTTTCGAATGCCGATCTGCGTGATCTTTCAATTTCAATCTAAATCGAATGAGCCAGGTGTTAAATTGAATGAAAACTTGGTGAAATTGGCCGGGAAAACCTATATTAGAAGTTTGTTCTTTCTTGTCATTTATTGTGTCTGTTGGTGTGTCCTATAGGATCCGGGGTTACCATTCCCAATTTGTAGAATTAGTCAAATTTTGGAGTGGTGACAACTCATTCAAATGAGCCATGTTTTGTCGACCGTAAACTTGAAAAGTTGACTCTCCATGGCAAACTCTTGGTGGCGCACGGCATTGTGTATCACCCGAATTATTTCACACGTTGCGTTGACACGATTCTAACGCGATTCTACAGCGATAGGTCAATAATGGCCAAGTTCGCGCAGGGACTATAGTTGACCAATGGTTAACTAACGTTTGCCCGAACTCTGTCTAGTCGACGGTGGTTGACTACGCTAGTCGACTATGTGGAACCAGCCTACTGGGGTTGGTTGCTTCGCTGGTAACCAATAGCCGCGCGCATTCATAACGCTAGCCAAGAGCCAGGATCCAGAAGTTTTGCGATGACATTTTGACCAGCGGTTGACTAGAGACGTTCGCAAGTTGCTGTTAGTGCGCAGGCGTAAGGTACGTTACAAATCAACCACTAGTCGACTTATGGTCCTTGCCCAAACTTTGGCCAATGCAGTGCGTCTGGGCCCGATTTCATGGAATCCGTTACGCCGAATGTTGTGCTAACGGACCTCAATTTTGTGCTAACCGAGCTAGCACAAAAATTCTGCGCTAACCTTAGCACAGAATCCTTAGTTACGGGAAGTACGCATGCGCACAAGCCAAAATTCCTTGCTATCTCGTGAAATACGCTTAACTGTTGGCGCGGAATTTTCCGCTATAGTTAGCGGCGATTTCTCGCTAACGGGTTCCATGAAATAGGGCCCCGAGCTGTGTCCCACATATCCATTGATCTCCATTAGTAAGACTAATGGAGATCAAAGCACATTCTACATTTATATAACCGCGTACAGATCATTGTCATTTGATTGATGGAACTCTCATCACGTGACGTTTGTTACTGCTCCCATTCACGCCGCGGCTCAAAAAGTATTTCAAAAAGTATTACTTTACCTCATACATATTCATGATCGAGAGCCGAACTGTCACTGGTCAATTCACCATCACGTGCCAGATGTTATTTTTGTTGTTTACCAAGCGCGCGCGCGAGGATTCGCGCACTGGGTAAATACGCATGCGTAGTAGACTGTCGCACGGGTTACCCTTCGCTCGTACCCCCCGCCCTGCAAACAGGACTCTGGGATACTCTGATGAATTTGCGCTCTGATTGGTTGGATTTTGCGTGACCAGTGACCTGCGCGTCATGACTCTGCAAGGTTTGAAACCGCCGTTAAGACTGATTCATTACTCTTTTATTCCGGTTTAAGAGATATTTTTTTTCTCGTTAAAAAGCGTAATAATGTAGGAAATTCTGTAAAACTTATCTGTGTTGTAAATTTACAATTCCCGTCACTCGCTCAGACTCCGTTTCGAATCACGAACGGTCGGATTGCATGATGCGACGCCAAAAAGTTTGTCCACATGGTCCGCAGTGCAACAGAAATCACATCCAGTATGGAATATGCGCAATTCTATGGGAAGTTTTCGGATAGCATTTGTGCACATTGTCTTACTGCGGTCTTGAACAGCTGCAGCAAGATGCTTTATACATAGGTTATAGGCCATTTCCTTCACAAGATTCTGTGAAGCTCATCTGGGTATCCCAGCGTCCTGTTTGCAGGGCGGGGGGTACGAGCGAAGGGTTACCCGTGCGACAGTCTACTACGTCGGACCTATGAAGCGGAATAAATAAAATTGTATGCCTCATAAGTCAGGTGTTGTGGAGTTGTTATGCAGATATTGCGGAGTTGTTTGGCATGTGTAGGACAGTTCTTATTTGTGTTCTCTATGTGTTTGGCATGTGATGAGCAGGTGTTGGGCAGTTGTTTCGCAGGTGTTGGGGAGTTTGTTGGACAGGTGTAAGCAGTCGTTGATCACGTGTTGGGCAGTTGATGGGCAGTTGTTTAGTTGGTGTTTGGGGAGTTGTTTGTTATGTGTTGGGGAGTTTGTTGGAGAGGTGTGAGGCAATTGTTGAGCAGTTTGATGGGCATATGTTTGGGCAGGTGTTGGGCAGTTGTTAAGCAGGTGTTGGGGAGTTGTTGAGCATGTGTTGGCGAGTTTGTTGGACAGGCGTAAGGCATGTGTTTGAGCAGGTGTTGGGCAGTTGTTAAGCAGGTGTCGGGGAGTTGATTTGCATGTGTTGGGCTGGTGTTGGGCACGTGTTCGGGAGTTATTGGGCAATTGTTGTGCAGTTGATGGGCATATGTATGGGCAGTTATTTAGTTGGTGTTGGGGAGTTCTTGGGCATGTGTTGGGAAGTTTGTTGGAGAGGTGTAAGGCATGTGTTGAGCAGTTGTTTAGCAGGTGTTGGGCATGTGTTGGGGAGTATGTTGGGGAGTATGTTGGGGAGTTGTTGAGCAAGTGTTGGGCAGTTTGATGGGCATATGTTTGGGCAGGTGTTTCGCAGGTGTTGGGGAGTTTGTTGGACAGGTGTAAGCAGTCGTTGATCACGTGTTGGGCAGTTGTTGGGCAGTTGTTTAGTTGGTGTTGGGGAGTTGTTTGTTATGTGTTGGGGAGTTTGTTGGAGAGGTGTGAGGCAATTGTTTTAGCAATTTGATGGGCATATGTATGGGCAGTTGTTTAGTTGGTGTTGGGGAGTTGTTTGTTATGAGCTTGTCTTACATACGCAGTGTGGACTTCCGAACAAAAGACGTCCACATAATGTAGGTAGCACCGACGTTGTGTGGACTTACCCCACGTCCACACAGTGTTTCCCCATTTCTGGAAAACAGGTTTAGAGGCATTTTTGGGTTAGGTTTATCTGTAGCAGAATGAAGAGAAACACTAAAGGGAATCATAGAAAAAAAATTGGGTTGAAAGAGTTTTCACAGTTTGAGAAAAATGAGTTTTTTCACTGGTTTTTCTTAACTACACGAAAGCAATGGAAAGTCCACACTAGTCATGTGAAACAAGTATGGGTGTGTTGGGGAGTTTGTTGGAGAGGTGTGAGGCAATTGTTGAGCAAGTGTTGGGCAGTTTGATGGGCCTTTGTTGGGGAGTTTGTTGGACAGTTGTTGAGCAAGGTCTTCTGTTGGGCATTTGTTGGGGAGTTTGTTGGACAGGTGTAAGGTGTTGGGCAGTTGTTTAGCAGGTGTTGGGGAGTTTATTTGCATGTGTTGGGCTGGTGTTGGGCACGTTTTCGGG